AAAAAAAAGAGTCGGAATCGGCGGTGGTAGAGGAGGAGGAGGAGGAGGAAAGGGACAGGAGGCGGTGCGTGTGTGGCTGCGTGGCTGGCGTGTATGACGCTCTCGTGCTGCGAGCCGCCGGAGGGGAAGTGGCGCGACGTGTACGGCGACCCTGTGCGGCCGCGGCGCGACGGCTTCGAGTGCCCACTTGACGCGCTGCAGATGGCGGCGTGGGCCGTTATTGTGATCCTGGTGACGCTGCACTACATGCTTCACGTCCCTTTCCTGCACGGCACGTTGCTTGTCGTCGTCGCCATCGTCTCCGGGGTGCTGGTGCTGGCCACGGTGGCGCTGAAGGTGTCACTGTCGCTCAGTCGCATCGAGGACCCTATCATCTTCCGCACCGACATCCCGCGGCTGGAGCAGGCCAACTTGACGCAGGAGGCCGCGCCGTCAGGGAGGGAGCCGTGTGTCTTCTGCCGCCGCTTCGTGCTTGCCGGCTGCAAGCACTGTGGGGTGTGCGACAAGTGTGTACCAGGGTTTGACCACCACTGCCGTTGGCTCAACGTGTGCGTTGGTACTGGCAACTACAAGGCCTTCTGTGCGTTCATGATCACATCATGGTGCACCATTACCTTTGTCTTCGCCATCGGCCTCTACATCACTGTCGATGCCTTCCGGGACAGAGCGAAATACGAGGACCTCCTGCAGGAACGTTACCACGCCGAGAACTATGTGGCATATATGGTTTTTCTCATCATCACGCTGGGACTCACTTTTTCTGGTATCTCTGTGCTCGGAAAGCTCATGCTCTTACACGCATACCTCTGCTGGACAGGTCGCACAACTTACCAAATGGTGTTAGAGAAACGCGAGAAGAAGCGTGAGCGGCAGCGGCTGAAGGGCCTGCAGCAACAGCAAAATCCACAGAGTGGGAAGGAGAGTGGGTTGTGCTCAATCTTTTCCCTTCGTAAACGCCGAGACTTCCGCAAGTACAAGCGACAGGCGGCAGCAAACAACCAAAATAATAACAACACCAACATCAACCATCGCGACGGCGACGTGATGCCATTTTCTGCGGTACCCGCGCGGTCGCCATGCGAACACCACGATCCGTACTCCTTGGGTGACCCAGAAACTGCGCCCGTCTGATATTCACGAGAGACGGGGGGCAGGGTCGGAGGGGAGCGGAAAGAATAGATTGAGAATATGCGGTGGGGGTCTGCTGCTCTTCTCCCCTTATTTTCACTGTTGAGCTGCGGGGACGCTGGAGGAACAGAAAGCCAAAAGGAAAACAACAACAACAACACCCGGCGAACAACTCCTAGACCTATCTGCACCGAAACAAGGTCACATATTCGCCTCCAACGCCGGCGTCCACGGCAATGCGTGAATTCCGGTACAGGTGTGTGTGGCGGGGCGCGGCAGGTGCACGTATATCGACCTGCCGCCCCGCGGCCCAATGCCTCAAGGAACCACAGAGAAATTATTGGACGGCTTCACTTTCCACCTACTTCTACAGAAACAGCGGGCGCGCAAACAGCGAGAGAGTGCACGCAACAGATACCGAGAGAGGGAGGGAGAGAGAGAGAGAGGGTGAGTACGTGAGTGTGTGAGAGAGAGGAAAAAGAGAGAGGAAGTGTACTAAAGGGATGCGGCGAGGGCCTGAGTGCGTCCGGCTGACGTTTGTGACAGGTGTTTTGGGCTGCGCATTTGGGCGTTATATTTCGTGTGGCTGTGTCTGTGACTCTGTGATTCACTGTGCGTCTGTGGGCGCGCGACTCCTGCGAGCGGGCCGTGGACCGGAGCACTCTGCGGCTGCATGCAACACGCCATCATATCTGCCTTCCACCTACTCCCAATTTAACGGATATTTTTTTTTTTACTCATGACAGCTGACAGAAGGAAAGGCGAGGCAACGTTCTCATGAGTCTTTTCCCTCCGTTGGTGCGGTTTTCTTCCCGTCTGGGCATTGCAGGGGCCAGAGTGGCACTGCACAGCCATCGTCGTGTCGCAATCACCACAAGCAACAGCAACGGTGGTAGCAACAGCAGTCCTGTAAGCAGCGAGAATAGCAATGACGGAAGAAGCAGCAACATCAGTCGCGATCACGATGATGGCAATGCACTCTTGCCACCTCATAACCAGCAGCAGCACCTCCCAGCTGATGACATTGACGTTTCTACCTCTACTACCGTTGATGCGGGTGCTGGCTCCTCTGCACGGTCGCCGTCCCAGTTGTCGACTACAAGCGGCATGCCATCGATTGTGTCGTCAGGCAGTAACGCCATATCGGATTCCTACTTGCACGAACTTGTGGCACAGGAAGAGGAGCGGCGGGTGGCGCGACACAAGAAACTCTTTGAGGACCTCCTCGTATTTGAAGGTGGCGCGCTCGCCGACCACGACTCTCTCGGCTCCGCGCTCATCATGCGGGACTTCATCCACTTCGCCCTCTACCACCAGAAGTGGGGCTACTACCCGAAGCTTCACCGCAAGTACCGGCAGCTCATGACTACCGGCTACTTTGACCCGGTGCCGTTCGGTAGCCTGCGCAACCAACATGACTACGAGCGGTACGTTGCCAAGATACACGATTCCACCCCCGCCTGCATCACGCCGACGCAGCTGTTCCAGCCGCACTACGGGTGGGTGCTCGCGGAATACCTCGTCACGATGATACGGGCGAAGTTTGACCCACGTGAGCCGCTAGTTGTGTACGACGTCGGCGCAGGAACGGGGGCACTGGCGGTGAGTGTGCTGGACTACCTCGCCGAGCACTTCCCAGCGGTGTATGCGCAATGCGAGTACCACGCTGTGGAGCAGAACCCACACCTTGTGCAGGTGCTGCGCAACCGCCTCATCACCCACTACCACCACGTGAAGATCCACAACATCTCGATCCTCAACTGGCGGCATGTGGAGCGTCGGCGGTGTGTCGTGCTCGGTGTGGAGCTGCTCTCCGGCATGCCGCACGACTGCGTCGTGCTAAGCGGTGACGGCGTGTGCAACGAACACTGGTTTGGCTTCCAGCAGCACGACAACCTCGCCACCGCACATGAGCGGTACTTGGCGGCAAAGGACCCACTAATCCTGCGCTACCTCCGCTACGTGCGCTGGCTGCAAGAGGAATCCTTCCATAGCCTCAAGGTGCTCTGCCTCACTGGCGGACGAGACAACATCGACCCGCCGCCCTTCACCAGCATCGAGCCAAACATGTACGACCCGCTGCGCGTCATCATTACAAAGGTGCTGTGGATGCACAGCCCGTTCCGCACGCTATGGTTGCCCACTGTCGCCATGCTATTCCTCGAGACGTGTGCCACGTTCTTNGCTGTGGATGCACAGCCCGTTCCGCACGCTATGGTTGCCCACTGTCGCCATGCTATTCCTCGAGACGTGTGCCACGTTCTTCCCGCGCCACCATCTCTTCCTCGTGGACTGGGCTCACGTACGGCAGGCACTGCCAGGTGTCAATGGACCGGTGTGCCAGAGCAAGGTACGCATCGCGAAGGACTTGTACCTACGCCGCCCCGCCGACTCACTGCAGGGCAATGCCGGCATGATCGATATATGCTTCCCCACAGATTTTGAACACCTCACTGTGGTGTATCGCAACATATGCGGGATGAACAAGGAGGTGTCGAGCCTCACACACCCTCAGTTCTGGAAAACATTCGGTGGCGACACGACGGCACTCTTCACGACGCGGAGCGGCTTCAACCCACTCATCGAGGACTTTGAGCCGCTCCATGTGTTCGCCACGCACCACCCGCAAGAGATGTGAGGCGCACTGCACACACGAGCACCAGCAAGGACAACAACGACAACAACACATTGGTAGCGATTCTATTGATGTTTCTCCTGTGAGGGGAACAACACAAACAACAATTTATCATGTGGATCCTGCTGCACGTGCGGGCCTCTGTCCGCATGCATGCATGCGTGCGTACTCGTGCCTGTGCCCCATTATCTGTGGTTTCCACGACGTGCTTCTCCCGCTTTGCTCATTGCAACCTACTTCTAATAGCCTTCCACCACACTAGCTAGCGGAAAGAGCCCCCAAAAGGGCAAAGTGCGCATGATAAAAGCCTAGTTCAGCCATCTATTACTAATACTCTGTTTTTATTCTCCCAGACGGGAGAGAACGGAGGTATTTCTTTATGTTGGCGTTGCATTGAAAGGATTAGAGCCAAGACAAAAATAATTCACGAAAGGGGCGAATAAAAACATAACCACTATCGACACCACGGTCGCTGATGCTGCTGTTGCTCTTCACAGGTAGCTGTGCTGCTGCTGCTGCTGTCCGGCCTGTGCATGCGGCGTGTCTCCGCCCCCGCTGCCGGGTGAGTGCTGCTGCGGCGTGGCGGCAGTGACCAGGAGGTTACGGTAGCGTTGGAAGCGACGCTGCGG